CTGTCACTCGATCATCACTCTCGGCAATCGGGCATCATCCCTTCGAGCCACTTGGCCCGTCCAGGCTCGATTGTCTTTGGGGCCGTCCATAAATGACGTCACGCACCTAGGGGGGGGGGGGTCAGACATTTGTGACGATGTGTGACGGGGGGGGGGGGGTGAGAAATGTGACGTCACATCAAAATGCGCAACTTTAAATAAATATAAACACGTTCTACTTAATTAAATAGACTTTTAAGAAATGTTTTCTCCTACAACATCAGAGTGCAGCGGCACATTAAACACGCACTACAATGACAATAGTTTAAAGCGATTTGAAGCATGTTTTATTTTTTTTGGGGGGGGGCAGAGCTTTGTGACGTCATATTTGAGGAGGGTCTGACTCTTTGTGACGCCGTGTGACGACGGGGGGGGGGGAGTCAAAAATCGTCCAAAATCGCGTGACGTCATTTATGAACGGCCCCTTTCCGTGAAATAAATAAACTCTGCAGATTCGTCACTGACATTGCCTTAAAAGGAAATACATACTGTAATATAGTCAGTAACGTTTCGAGCAATGGCCCCTCTTCATAGCATATCATGTGTGCGATGATAAAGGGTCATTGCTCGAAACGTCAACTATTATATATGTTTTTTTATTTTAATGTAGTGTTATTGAAGAATGTATAACGTTGTTTTGTTCATTTTCCATCCGCACCACTGCCAACGCATCACCATAGAATAATTTGTCTTAATATAGTTAGAATTATGTTTTTTTTTAATATCTGCGCGTGGCTCCTAATGTACAGTATATGTTCCTCGTGCACTACTCAATGCTTATTTTAACACTTTAAATTCTTTCCACAATTTCCATAATTTCCGTTCACGTCTATGCTTCTGATCCATATGTCATAGGTTGTGCACGTTCATGATATTTAACGAAACAATATTTGCTCGTAAAAACGGATGATCTTTCGAAAGGCGTTACAGACGCCACGCATAGGCACGGTTTCTCCGTCCTTAAAGTTGTATTTTATTTGCTTTATCCACGTCGCCCTCGATACCAGCTGCTTGTGCTGTAACCCAATAAGCAAAAGCAACGTTGAGCCAAGGCTGGCATGTGGTTGGAACGAACCGTTGGACCAACGTTGGCCCAACGTTGCTCCGATGTCCAAGTGGCCTCTCGCCGTAACGTTTCGTTTGTTTTACATTCGCGAGAGAAGCACGGGACGCGACAGATCTGCTGTCGACGGTGCATCATAGACGTCGTTCCACGCCGGTGTCAGGCGGCTCGTGTGTATGGCTTCACCTACCCCCCCAACTCCCTCCTCCACATAACCACCTCGGCGTTTGGCAGTGGCGTCCGCGCAGGTGTCTCATTACTCCTCTCCCATCTCCTCTCGCCCGTTACCTGGAGCCCCCCTATTGTGTGATGGCAGGGGAGCTGCTATTTTGGGACGAGAGAGTCAGGTGTTCCTCGGGTGACGCTCTAGCTGAAGGCGGGCTATAGGGTTAACTGCAAGTTATATCAATTTCCAGTTTCACGCACCGCTCCGGCACCATATTGTCCGCAATTGTAGGACGCTCTAGAAAGTTAGACGCGTCCCAACATTGTTCAGCGTTGGTAAACAAGTCTGGTCACTTACACACACACCTACGGGATTATAAGACGCACCTGTCACTTTTTCTTTAACATATACAGGTGGCAAGTGCGTCTTATAATCAGGCCAATGTGGTGTGTGAGAGCATGACAAAACCCATATACAGTACAGTAAAACGGGAATGTTTAAACTAACTTTTGATGCATTCGTGTTTTCATTCGGGACATGAACAATATATGACAAATTAAGATTGAATATAATGCACTAATCAATAGCGCGTATTGGTAATTGTAAATTTTGTACATGCAAAATAGAGTAGTTCAAAAATAGTTGTAAAAAAATGTAAATTAAATAGTTAAAAATAGCGTGTTTATATTCAATTCCCTGGTCACTCTTACTTCAGAGGTAATCCTTAGTGTCTCCATAATAAAGACATAGGTGCCCCGTCTAGCCTTTGACAGATTATTGGGCAAGTGCTGCTAGTGACCACCAATTAAGGCCGACGTAGCACACACAAGTGTTGTGGTATGGCCAGATCCACATCCCACAGCAGGCTTTATTGTACCCCCAGTGATGATGTTTAAACACGGCACCATTTAAGGCCGAGTCGATCTAGCGAATGCCCGGGACCGGTTCCGATATAATTGGCCAATTGTGGTGTTGGCCGTGGCCGGGAATTGAACTCAAGTCGCGGTGTTACTGGTAGGAACCTCCTGGTTACACCACCAGCAGCCCACAGGGGATTATTGTGTCCGTCCGTCCGTCGTGCATCCAACAATGGGAGGGGTGGGGCTGGGTGGAGAGGAGAGGGTGGGGAGGGGCTGGGTGGGGAGGGAGGGGCTGGGTGGGGAGGGGAGGGGCTGGGTGGGGAGGGGCTGGGTGGGGAAGGTGGGGAGGGGCTGGGTGGGAGGGGTGGGGCTGGGTGGGGAGGGGCTGGTCACCCCGTGGTGCCCTTATAAAACTCAACGTTTAACCTACTCACGCCGGCTTGTGCCCGCCCTCACAGTCGGTCATATTTGCGGAATACACCACGTGGTGCCGCCGTTGACCCTGGCCATTGACCGAGCAACCCAACGTTCCTACCAGCTCCCTCCGCAGGAGAATGTGTTATGTAAGCGCTAACCGCTGCATCATCGCTCCTGACGCCCTGCACGTCAGCGAGGTTTAATTTATATAGGTTAATTAACATCGGCACAAAATGCTGTCCTGTACGCGTAATATTAAAAAAAAACATACATACGGTTATTTTTTTAAAAGCTAGAATTGTGATTATAGCGGCATCTAGTGGCTGGATGCCCCACGTGATCCCATCGCGTACAGCTTCTTCTACGGACTTTAAATACACCGACGTGCCATTTGACCCTTGCACGGCGAGCTTAATAATTGCTGCTCATGAACTTTACAACACTAATTGTATGCGCTCGTCCTACTGTAAAGTGTATCCTTTAGTTCAACAAACATAAGGGGCCGTCCATAAATGACGTCACGCACCTGGGGGGGGGGGGTCAGATTTTTGTGACGATGCGTGACGAGGGGGAGGTTTGAGAAATGTGACGTCACATCAAAATGCGCAACTTTAAATAAATATAGACAACACATTCTACTTAATAAAACATCAGAGTGCAGCGGCACATTAAACACGCACCACAATGACAATAGTTTAAAGCGATTTGAAGCATGTTTAATTTTTTTTGGGGGGGGGCAGAGCTTTGTGACGTCATATTTGAGGGGGGTTTGACTTTTCGTGACGCCGTGTGACGATGGGGGGGGGGGGCGGGTGGTCAAAAATCGTCCAAAATCGCATGACGTCATTTATGGACAGCCCCTAATGTGCGGTAACTCAGTGGCATCCGAGTCATATTTCCTGCCGCGGCTCCTTACATCGGTGGAGACGTATATCCGAACAGATGCTGCTTTGATCCTTACTCCACTCATCACCATCACGCACTGCAGACCAGTGCGGTGAAGTATGGCCAAACACCCCCCCCCCCCCCCCCCCCCCCCGGAAGCCGGCCTTCATCCAGCAGTGCATTGACACAGGGGCCTGCAAGTAATTACAGTACTCAGCGGCATACTTGTCTAAAGCAGTATCTCGCCGATAATGCGTTCCCGTTTGATCACAGAATTCCCTTGGTGATCTACATTGCAAAAGCGATAATGAATCTCTCCATTGGTTTCCATTACATTGAATTACTTGCACAGTAGTTACGGGGTGCTGAGGATCGGCTGCTGTCCTTTGTTTAACCAGGTGAGGGCCTATTGACATTCATTATCAAGAGGCCCATTGTCTAGGAGCGTTTTCAGTAACGGAACGTAATTCACATTTGGTATGTGTACTCCTGCACGCGTGCGGAAAAACAATTACGCGTAGCATTCGTCGTTGGTATTAAATTAGAGCAATCTAATTGATAATGGTAATAGTTTATGAAAAAATATGTATTTTTTAAACAGATGATGGCCTAATTTGTTCCCACGAGTTGAGAACACGAGGAGATAGAAACGTGTGCAAGGCAAGTGCAGAGGAACTGGGTTTGAATCCGAATTTCAGATACGCGTACCCGTAATAAAACTGATCGTTTCAGTTTAATTTGACTAAATTCTTGCTTTAGTTGTAGTAGTTAGAAAAAGTATTTTGGAAAAAAAAGCTCAACACATTCGTCAATAACAACACTGCCGTCAAATGAAAATATATGTAAGCGGCGACGTTTCGGGCAATGGCCTCTCATTCTTAGCACAATATAAAACACATTCAGATTGACTGACGTGCGGACACACATTTCCACGTTATCAGGGCGTGTGCGAGCGCGCGCCCCCTAGTGAATGAACACAATCGCACTCAAAAGGGACCTCGGCAGAAATTCTGTGACATCTGCTTCCGCTGGCAGTTCTCTCGCAGAGGACGGCTGGGTGAAGCGCTTCGCGAGAGCTCCGAACGAACACTACCAAATGACGACTTGACGTCGACAGCACACTCGCGATAAACTAAAATGTAACACTGGAGAGACACAAACAAAAAATAAGAGATGCGCGGAGCAGTCCAGATATAAAGACACATTCGTAAACACTGACTTGTGGAATATTTATCACCTTCATCCCCCCAATCCCGCGGTCTGCCCCTCCCTCCCTCCCGAAAGCAGGAGGGGGGGGAGAGATTTTTTTTCCATTTTCCGGAGCTTAGCCCCGGACAGCTCCGGCTGAAATTAATTCCTGTTTCATACATAACACGCGCATATGCGGATGGGAAGAGAGGGAGGGAGTGTCATTCGGTGGACAGCGATTTTAAATTTTAACGAAGCAAGTAAATAGAAATATAATCTGCCGGGTCGGTAAGGGGGGAGCGGGCAGGCTCGGGGTGGGTAGAGCGGTGGTGGTGGGGGGATCGGCAGGGAGGGATGCAAGGAGGATGCGAGGGTTGGCTGGTGGGGGGTTATGATGGAACAGAGAGGTGGGGGACATTAAGCGACATGCGCTGAGTGAGGCTGGGGGTAGCCGGCTTGCACGTCGTGCGCTCTTCGGCTGCGGTAGCAACGCTCCTGATGAGGGCTGTGCGCTGCGACCGTCATCATCACCACCACTATCAGCAGCAGCGGCAGCAGCGGAATCATCACCATCAGCAACAGCAGCAGCAGCATCATCATCAGCAGCAGTGCTCCTGTCGGCTTCGTCACTCGGTGGAACAATGGGAGTGCGCTGATGTGCGCCGCACGCTTCTCAGTGCCACATAGCTGCTCCCCCGCTCCTAGCTGCTGCTGCTGCTGCTCTGCGCGTCCGGTGGATTTAATGAAAGGATGCACCAGTCGGGAGACACCAATGAAGCAGGCGAGTGATGCTGATGATGATGGTGGTGATGATGATGATTCATAAACGCGTTGAGTACAGCTTCACATTCTGTGTGTGTGCGTGCGTACCTTGACTATCGTGTGTGAGTGCGTTTTCTGCGCGAGCGTGTGTCGGTGCATTTGTGTGCGTGAGTTCACCCGTGCGTGTGTGTGTCAGTGTATGTGTGTAAATGTCAGTGTGTGTGTGTGTATGTGGGTGAGTGTCGTGTGTTGTGTGTGAGCATTTGTGAGTGTCTCTCTGTGTGAGTGAGTGTACGGAGTGTTTGTGTGTACGCGTGTGATTGTCGTTTGTGTGTCAATTATGTCTATAAATGTATGTGAGTGTGTGTACACGAGGGTGGGAACGGTGGTGTACCAGTTAGCACGCTGCGCTATGAACTTGACGACCCGGGTTCGATTCCCGCTCATGGCCAACACCAGTGACGATTATCTAAACCGGTCCTGGGCCTCCCCTAGGGCGACTCAGCCTCAAATGTCTGGTGCGGTATGTAGTCAAAATCGCCACTGGAGAGACAAAGGTGGTCGGGCGTGGTTCTGGCCACCTACCCTTCTGTGTGCCGTGCCAGGCTTCATAGGTGCTCGCTAACAGCACTTGCCTCAACAGTCTGTCACGGCTATACTGGGGATCTTTGTCTTTGCGTACACGAGTGTGTGTCTCTTGAGAGCCTGAGTTTCTGCGTGTAAATGTATGAGTCTGTGTCTTTGTACGTGGGTGAGTGTGAGTGTGTGTGTCTGTTTTTATTTGTAAATGGCGAGCGGTGGCGCAGCGGTTAGTCTGAACATGTTCTGGGCTTCCCCTAGGTCGACTCAGCCTTAAATGATTGCCTGGTGTGGTATGTAAATATCAGCACTAGAGAGACAAAGGCGGTCGGGCGTGGTGTTGACCACCCACCCCCTCGTGTGCCGTGCCGGCCTTCATAGGTGCTCGCAAACAGCACTCGCCCGCACAGTCTGTTGAAGGCTACACGATGCGTTTATGTGCTTGAGTTTATCTGCTTGTCTCTGTGTAAGTGTGTGTGTCTCTCTGTGTCAGTGTGAGTCCGCGTATGTGTGGGCGTGTGAATGTATCGTGTGTGTCAGTTATTGTGTATAAATGTTTGTGCGTGCCTCTCAAATATTGGTGTGTGTTAAGTGTGTGACAGAGTGCGTTTCTGCGCGTGTCACTGTGTGCACGTGTCCGTTTTTGCACATGTGTGTATATCTTGCGTCCTGTGAGCACGTGTGTACATATGAGAGTGTTCCCGTGTGTGTGTGTGTGTTCTTGTCTTGTGTGTGTGGTGTTAAGGTGTCTCCCAGTGTCTTTGTGCGTGTGTCAATTTGTGCGCACGTTTTGTGGTGGTGTGTCGGTGACGTGCCGTGTTTTTAAGTGTGTGCAGTTGTGTGTATCTTCGTGTGTACGTGTACGCGTTTGTGTGTGCGTTTGGAAGTGTGTTTCGGTGTAAGATATTGCATGTAAATATGTTTGAGTGAGCGTCCCAATTGTGTGAGTCTATGTGTACTTGTGTGTGTGAGAGAGACTGTGTGTGGATGGAGTGGTTCATGCGCTGCGCTACGAACCCGCCTGCCCGAGTTGGATTCCCGCTCACAGCCAACAACAGTGACGATTATCTGAACCGGTCCTGGGCGTCCCCTAGGTCGACTCAGCCTCAAATGAGTACCTGGTGCAGTGCGTAAACATCGCCACTAGGGAGACAAAGGCGGTCGGGCGTGGTGCTGGCCACCCACCCCCTTGTGTGCCGTTCCGACCTTCATATGTGCTGGCTTACAGCACTTGTCCCAGCAGTCTGTTAATGGCTACATGAGGGATCTTTGTCTTTGTTATTTTGGGGGGAGTGGCGGCGCAATGGATAACACATTGCGTAAGGAACTCGTCCGCCTGAGTCAGGGATATCATCGATGCTGAGATATTCGGACCAGCCCTTGGTCTCCCCGAGGTCAACCACATCTAAATCAGTGACTTGGCTCATTGTCAAACATCATCAATGGGGAGACAGATGTGACAGGGCGTGGGAATGGCCACGTCGTTTTATGGCCGTCATAGGTGCCCGCTAACAGCACTTTCCGCAAAAGTAAACACATTCTATACGGGGGACCTTTGTTTTTGCATGTATGCTCGTGTATCAAGGTGTGTGTTTTTACGTACGTGTATTTGTTTGAGTCTGTGCGTCATGTTTTTGTGCAAGTCTGTGTATTTTTGCGTGAGTGTTCGTTTTTTTGTCAGCATGTGTCAGTAATTGTGGGGTATTGGTAGGTATTAATGCATCGCTACATATGTATGTATGAGAGCAGAGCCTTCGGATCTGTGGTATATGACGTGTCTGTTAATGTGGCACCTCTGCATGCAACCTCTCAATGTGTCCATCACACACAGTTGCACCGATGATATTGCAGTTGTGACTGTGGAAAAGGCAGCCATCACAACTGGGGCACTGGCACACATCTTGTCATGTGGGGGGACATTCTCTTTTGTCAAAATTAAGAGTCGCTGCGCATGTGGAGTCTGGCATGAGAAACGGCAGAGCTTGCCTTCATCATGACACCAAGTCCACCACCCGCCCGTGAATAATTGCAGCTATTAATACACCGCCACAGACACAAGGCAGTGTGGCAGTTTTATCATAAACACGCGCATAGATGTACTGCGGACAGCGGAAGTCTTCGGTCAACATTTATTCACAAATGCCCCGCGCGTGTTAAATTCAACAACAAGCAGGTGCTTTTAATTTTTTTAACACGGTTTTTTGTGAGCCTTTTTTTTGACCCCTCTCAATGTCATCGGCGAAAGTGGCGAGCTCTGGATTTTTTTTAAGACCGCCCCCCCCCCCCCCCACGGCGAAATACCTTTTGCCTTTTCTGGGGTCGGCCGTTTTTAACGCCGTGGCTCTGGGGAGATGTGATTTAGTGGCGTGTGGACCGGGCACGTGTTTGTTATAAAAGCACCTCCCGCCTCGTCCGACATGACGGTGACCTTGCTCCAAATATGAATCAAGCGAATTTGGGACGGGGGGAGGAGGGCATCGTACGACGGGGATCGCACGTAGCCTGGGCCACTCACTCTGGGCCACGCTCGTATATTGAATTCAGATGCGATCGCGTTTACGGTTGCCGTGTATTTGCGCTCCAAAGTGACAATGCTGTTGGGGGATCTTGCTCCGTCAGTGCTGGTGGGTTTTAATGACGCTGCAAAAAAAACATCGTCGCAGGTGTCAGGAACTGGCTTCCAAGCTGTATACCTTACACTTCTTTTGAATATAATGTTACCGATCCGTTTTCATCTCATTTTTAAGCGATGACTACCGTGCACTATATCATTCCCAAACAATTTTAAATGGGCGCACGTAAATTACAATCTGCTTCACGTGAAAAATGGAACGTTTGCGATTTTTTTTTAAACTGATCAAAAACAGCAATATAAAATATATTGTATTTTCTTATCCAAATGGCATGAAGAGGCCCTCATCCAGCAGTGGTGTGACAACAGGGTTATGCAGGAAAATGTGGTATATAAATATCAAAGGCATTTCATTGGCATAGACAAATTATGATTTGAATGTATTGTTTTGTGTTTTTTGTAATAATGGATAACTAAAAACAAAGAAAAATTTGCCTTTAAAATTAAATGACACAACGTTGTCATCTTTATTATTGGCTCATGCTATCCCACACAATCATGTCAGAATGTTGCTTTCATTATTTTGGCAATTGTCTATATTATGAAATATTAAAGTGCAAAAAAAATCGTTATTTTCAGTCTGGTGATTTGCCATCAACATGTGAAATATTAAAATTTACACCATCTGTAAAAACTTTTTCAAATCTAACGATTATCCCATAAAACACCATGTGTCATGCCTGGATTAAAAATGACCATATTGTGTTCAGCATGGAAATATACAGTACCCTAATACAACTGTGGTAGACAATCATCGCAGTGGTTAGCGAACTGTTCTATGAAACCTTGGACCTGCATTTGATTCGGAGGGATGGCTGGAATCTGAGTGCAAAATTATATCTGAAACATTCTTGAGTTTAGGTTTCTAATTAGTTTTTCCTCCCCTTAGCGAACGTTTAATTAATGTATTCATGTGATGTACAGCTCTTTAAATACCTTGTAGAAAGCCTTATACATGGAAATTATTATTTTATTATAATATTATCAGCAACCCTCCTTGACTGCGATGGAATGGCGATGCCACCATCCAGCAGTAGATTGAAATTAAACTGAAATAAGTTGAATACATTTTATTGGTCCAATCCCACAGTTAATGGAATTACTGTACATCATGACACATAGAACTTTATCATCACAACATTTAACAAGCTCCATTTGGGGTTTTATGGTTTCTGAACGTTCATACACAGCAGCCTGGCGCGAAACATTAAAAAGCCCATTTCATAATCACATATTGCAATTATGTTACTGTGGGATCACCGACATATGTAGACTCACATATTATAAGAAAGAGATGGACTCAGTGATTTTCCTTAATCTAATGATCCTTGTGTATCACGGAAACTCGACGCTTTCGTCAACAACACTTCGACCTTAAAAGGAAAGATGTATAATGAGTGACGTTTTGGGCACTGACCCTTCTTCATGGCACAGCACTGATGTGGTCTTTTTGTTGTGTATAACAAAATGTTGTTGTGTGTAACAAAATGTAGTTGTGTATAACAAAATGTTGTTGTGTATAACAAAATGACCACAGCAGTGATCTGTGGGCGAAGGTGCTTTCTCTGCTGTGTACAGGGTTTCTTTGAACAAAAAAAGAGGCTTTTTAACACGTATGCTTTCGCGACCAATATCATCCATGAAACAGTTTTTTTTGGGTTAGATCGCGTAAATAGAAATGTGTCGTTAAACCCACCACCACCCGACACAGCCAATTAGTAAAGTTTGTCACGTAAATAGAACATGCCAATTCGTTACAAGCACAGCACACCGGTGTGTTGGAGAGCAAATCCACAACATTTACAATCAAAGTACGACGTTTCGCCAGTAAATACAACTAGCTTCATCAGGCGACAGCCAGATTTGTATCTATAAATGTGTCGTTAAGCCCGCCATCACCCGACTCAGCCAAATAGTAAGAGTTGTCAGGGAAATGAAACGTGCCAATTGGTTACTACTTCACCGCACCGGTGTGCTGTAGAGTAAACCCACAACATTTACAAATCCAGTAAGACGTTTCGCTGGTGATTACAACCATTTATATTAACGCACATCTAATTAAAAAAAAAACCCCTTTGTTGTGGATAATATTGGTCGCGAAAACTTTGCGTGTCAAACGGACAGGTGTCATTGTGTATCCACATGGGCATCACCGGGTGATCTTTTCCAAACCCCCCGCCTCGTCCAACATCCAGGCACAAAGCATGCGGCTGAAAGTTGCGGGCGCAGCCTATCCAACGGGGGCGGCGGCGGCGCTGGGGAGTCCAACTCCAGCCAGGGCTTCCTGTCCTGGCAAGCGGCCATCGCCGCGGCCAAAGAAGCCAAAGAGGCCGAGGAGATGAGCCGGGCGGCCGAGGGCGAAGCGGGGGCGGCCGCCGCCCCGGGGGCTGCCGCGAACGCGGCTCAGCGCAAGCGGCAGCAGTACGCCAAGACCAAGAAACAGGGCAGCAACGCCAACGACCGACCCCCGCGGGCCCTCTTCTGCCTCGATCTGAACAATCCGCTGCGACGCGCGTGCATCAGCCTCGTCGAGTGGAAGTATCCTTTGGCTACCGAGCACGCGAAAATGTGCGGGCACGCGAGTAGGTGGGGGGGGGGGGGGCCGGCCCCCGCCGCTTTGTGACCGGAGGCACGGAAAATCCCCAGGGGAGATGAGGGGGAGATAAGGAGTCAGGGAGACGTGGCTGCGGGCTTGGTTAAAAGAACATGTGACAAAAAAAAATGTCAAATGGCTTCTATCTTATCTTGGGAGAGAGATGCACACCCAAGTTGTTTGTCCTAGCTCGTCCGATGAATTGTTACAGTTGTGTTAATAAGAGCAAGAACGATTTTAAGTGGCTTACAGGTGTGCTTTCGTGGTATTACTCTGCTGCAATTGCTGTGCCTTGTTAACATAATGCTATGCCATCTGATTTCGGTAACATGCACATGTGCAGCCTTTTAATCCACTTTTTTGGGAGGGGTTCCCCACACCATGTGGGCTATGGAGGTTATTTGACTGTGCGTCACTGTGCTGGTCAGTGTGGGTTGGTGAAGGAAGGGAGCATCGACATTGTTCAGTTCAATGAGCGCTATCCAAGATCAAAACTAGCTTGACTTCTGAGATCTGACAAGATTAGGTGAATTCCGGCTGATTTGTTTATAGGCGACCTCAGAGCACGTGAAAGGTAATCCATGAACAATGGCAAACCTGTGTCAAACAGCCACGGATACACAGTCTAGGTGTGCCACTACTAGAGTATTGACATTTGTTTTTTTGTTTGCATCTTTAAGCGCTGGAGATGGGGTTAGCGTTGGTGATAGAATACGGATAGATTGGCTAATGTGCCCTGTGCCCTAGTCGTGTACACCTCCAATTGGCAATATAACTTTCCAAATTTGTTTTCCTTTTCACTTTTGATCTTGACAACAACGCCTTGTAGCTCTTTTGCTTTTACAATTTTCTGAATTACGCACTGCTCATGGATCCACTGGACAATTGATAATCACCCCCTTATCAATCTGCCTATCGGACAAATTGTTGTCTTCATTTTTGCCATCATGAATTTAATCTTGTTTACATCTTGGAAGAATGATTATATTCATATGTATGCGGTGTTTAGTCGTTCCTCTCTCTCACAAGTGATTTGAATTTCCATTTAAATCTAACATTATCATGATTCTGGAAGTCCTTCCAACGGATGGGGGTGTGGAATTCCCCCCACCCCCATCACCTCTGCATCACACGTGTTGCACACGTATGGTATGCAAATGGACCTTTGACCCACAGAGCAGCGTCGGGACTCATTATGCCCTCTCTGCAATCCCAGCACCAGTGACCTGATTAATACCCATAGACCCAAACCTCTCATCTGTGTTAACGAGACTCGGAGGTTTTAAATTGCTAATCAATGCAACGCTGTCTTCTTAGCAGGCCACCTGCCAAATCGATGACAACCGTTGGAGAGAGAGCGAGCGAGAGAAAAAATACGCTTAACAAAATGCTGACCCCCTCTCCGTACACAATGGAGCACACGCAACGGCGCGTTTATGTTGCGTACATTTTTTTTTTTTACAAAACATCGTCGCATAAATCGGGTTGAAAATCTATTCATCTAAATCCGGAGACTACATTGGGAGTCGATGCGGCTTACACATAAGGAGGGGGGGGGGCGGGGCTGCTGCCGTGCACGGCGGAGCTGTTCATGGTGCTGAAAGGCACTTTGCTGTAAACACTGCCTCTGCACTGCTGACGTGAACGCATTCAACGCATTCAGATCACTATATTTTTTTCTACGTGGATATGGCCTGTAGATGGTTCCCCTCGCGCTCTCTCTGAATCTCTCTGAATCTCTCTGTGACACATTATGCATTTTTTTTTTAACATAGCTCTGTGCATTCGTATGGCATTAAGATGCGCGTCCCCCCTGAGGGTAGTGTCCTTGCAGCGTACAGTAGCGCAATACCTTTTGCTCTAAAAAGCAACGGATTAGCAATTAATGGTCACCACATTCATTAGGCGAAACATTTACTTTTACGGTGTAGGCTTTTAACAAACTGTAAGCGGAACAACGCCATTAAACACCAGTCGTACAATTATGACTGATTAACAAAATGCTTAACTAAACCCCGCGGTTGAACACTTCTCGACAATTTACCTGGCCTATAAAATTGAGCGTTGAGCCAATTAAGTTTCATCCGCGGTCAATGTGCACATTAACTCACAATTATGGGTTCACAATTAAATGATTTGTAACAGGCAAGACACATTTACAACTGCCTTGCTTTCTTTACGGTGGCTTGCGACTGCAATTAATTTATGCTGTGTTCAACGGTGCGCGTTTGACAGCATTTTCGGTTGTTGTCTCCCTTAACCCCACACTTCAGGCCATTTGATTTGTTTATCCTCGTGGCAATATTTGCCAACTGCGTGGCCTTAGCCGTCTACATCCCCTTTCCAGAGGACGACTCCAATGAAACAAATCACAATCTGGTGAGTCCCTCGTGTATCCATTCGTGCCTGAGATTTCAACCCGCGCTGTGTTTGTCTGGCGTGCATTTCCGTGCGTGGTGGCGCTGTCCTCGGCAGATTTTGTGCTGCAGTCCACATGACCCAGCTTTGATCCCTGGCCGTGCACATTATCTGCAGTTGGCCTGCCCTTGGGTTGATGCAGTCTAAAATTGAGGACAATCAGGGTGTGTATGTTCGTCTTTGTTGTGTACGTGTTTGTGTGTCTCTGTGTGTGTGTTATCTTGTGCGCGGGAGCGGTTGTGTAGCGGTTAGCACGCTGCGCTACGAATCTGGCGACCCAGGTTCGATTCCCGCTCACGGTCAACACTAGTGACGATTATCTGAACCGGTCCTGGGCTTCCCCTAGGTCGACTCAGCCTCAAATGAGTACCTGGTGAGTGTGTAAACATCGCCACTAGGGAAACAAAGGTGGCTGGGCGTAGTGTTGGTCACCCACTCCTCGTGTGCCGTGCCGGCCTTCAAAGGTGCTCGCTAACAACACTTGATTCAACAGTCTGTTAAAGGCTATACGGGGGATCTTTGTCTTTGTTATGCTGCAACGCTAGGTATGGGGAGGAAGAGGTGGCTGGGGTTGTTGATGTTTTATTCCATTGGGAGGGATGGAAGGGGGGCAAAGCCTAATTTTGGGGAGTCCCCTTTCAATGTATGCACTCATAATGAGATTACAGAAGAGATATAGGCATTAGGATAGATATGGAGCGAGATAAGAGGAGACATACAAATGAGACGGAGATGCAGTGAAATTTGAGTAATGTATACTTGAGACGAAGATTGAGTTGGTTGAGAGAAGAGAGACACAGAATGGGGATGAGAGCTATTACTTTGCTTTTATATGTTTTTGAGCATGTTGTGTTTACTTGGGATTTGAATTCGAACTGATATTTTGGTTCATCCGAATTTTTTGTCCACGAATCTTGGTTTCCCGGAGCTGCTCAAAGCATTTGGCTTATTTGTTTTTGCCTTATGCCACCCCTGTCTCCACCCACTTTCCCGTGAGTCTTGCCAACTGTAATAAACATTTGCTAACAGCGCTATCCCCAGCCATTTTGCAATGCCAACAAGGGAATTAGTATTGTTTTTAAAAGTTTTAATATATTGTGTGTGAGCACGAGTAACTATATCATACGATCCTGGCAATATGGATTGTAAATTTTGATTTAAAGCTTTCGTGACTGCAGGGATTCATATTCTTGGTTCTTTCGGTAAAGTCACGTAGAAGGGAAACAATAAAATAATACAAATAAAAAAAGATATATAAAACAATACAATTATCACGACGTTTCGACTGCAACACAAGCAATCATCATCAGGTGTGAAAACCACAGAAAGAAAATTTGGAAAAAGTGGCGGGGTTTTTTTTAACGTTAGCACCACGGAGAGCGATTTGGCAGTTATTCAGATGGACGAGTCCATCTATGTTCGGAAAAGAGGAGGGGGGAGACGAAAATAATGGATGCGGTCTGAAAGCCACCGTAAGCATGAACAATCAATTAAGACCCGAAATGGTTTATCAAATCCTTCCAATGATTGCTAAGCCAGAATCCATCTTCTCGGTTCAAATTGTCTCTGTATTTGTATATGTGGGTAGCCTCATGAACGAATCTCTCATGGTAGCCAGATGGCTTGCAGATAACCTCTGTCTTGGAGAAGTCAATGTCATGTGAGCCTACTGAATTATAACAGTGATCTGCCACGGCCGAGGTGTTGGTCCTACCCTGTTTTAGGTCTGCTTTGTGTTCACGGATGCGGTCCGAGACATTTCGTTTGGTTTCTCCAATGTAACTGCTACCACAAAGGCAACTTAGTTTGTAGACGCCAGGATTCTGCAGTTACATTGTTCCCTGGCGTCTACAAACTAAGTTGCCTCTGTGGTAGTAGTGGCAGATCACTGTTATAATTCAGTAGGCTCACATGACATTGACTCCTCCAAGACAGAGGTTCTCTGCAAGCCATCTGGCTACCATGAGAGATTCGTTCATGAGGCTATCCACATATACAAACACAGACAATTTCAACCGAGAAGATGGATTCTGGCTTAGCAATAATTGGAAGGATTTGATAAACTATTTCGGGTCTTAATTGATTGTTCACGCTTACGGTGGCTTTCAGACCGCATCCATTATTTTCGTCTCCCCCCTCCTCTTTTCCGAACATAGATGGACTCGTCCATCTGAATAACTGCCAAATCGCTCTCCGTGGCGCTAACGTTAAAAAAACCGCCACTTTTTTCAAATTTTCTTGCTGTGGTTTTCACACCTGATGATGATTGCTTGTGTTGCAGTCGAAACGTCGTGAGAATTTTATTGTTTTATATATATTTTATTTCTTATTGTTTCCCTTCTACGTGACTTTTACCGAAAGAACCAAGAATATAATATGGATTGTATTCCTGGTTGTCTGTCACAGCATTAACAATTGGTATCTGAAACTGTCCTGGACCTCCCGAGGCTTAATCAGCATAAATTGAGTACAGTCCTCAGTGTCTTCTGGGAACACAGTGTAGCCCGAGTACCATCATGTCCCCCTCGTGTTCCTGTGTTCCTCGCTCACCACAATAATAGTTTATCACGAACGGCACTTCCCCTAGATATTTAACCAAGCCAACGATGCAATAATGTTTTGTTTGATGATCATTGTGTGAGTGTGAGTGTATGCACATTTGTGCTACCATGCTGATGCTGTGGGGTTGATGCCTGTACAATTATAGCACCAGTGACAAAGTACAACTTACTTGGGGACTGAGGTACAGGTGAATATAGATGAAAAGGTCAGATATGTGAACATCAACAGAAATTGATGGATACTCAATGAACAAATAGGTCACGCTACAAAAACGAAGCACAAACTCTTAAAAGTGGGGAAATGCTCCACTGTGCTTTAGAAGTAAGCAAACATGAATAATACATCACTGCGTGTGAAAACGTCAGATTGGTGGATATGTACAGAAGATGACAATTACACTGTGCAGAAATACTGCATCGGGTGTGGGTGGTTCATTGGTCATGGTGATGGTAAAACATGCGACGTTATACACCATACAGGGTGGTCAGATGTCTGGTGACCCCCAAGTAATTTACCCCCATTGGTTTCCTTTGCATATTAACTTCTACTCATATTCACTTCTGTTTTATATAACATAATTAAATGGGGGGGGGGGGGTCACAAGACATCTAGACCACGCTATACAATACAATTTTGACATGATGTCGTGTTTAAATAAATATGCATGTCAAGAGTGAATGTACACTGTGGGTGGGGAGGGGGGGGTGAAGGGGGCACGTAGAGAGATGATGGTGTGGTAAAGGTGCTGCTGTTTGAGACCCTTCAAAGTGGACAGACATTAAGGTCCTGGAGTGGCCGAGCCAGTTTCCAGACCTTAATCCCATAGAAAATCTGTGGAGGGAGCTGAAGGTTCGAGTTGCCAAACGTCAGCCTCGAAACCTTAATGACTTGTAGAAGATCTGCAAAGAGGAGTGGGACAAATCCCTCCTGAGATGTGTGCAAACCTGGTGGCCAACTACAAGAAACGTCTGGCGTCTGTGATTGCCAACAAGGATTTTTCCACCAAGTACTAAGTCATGTTTTGCAGAGGGGTCAAATACTTATTTCCCACATTAAAATGCAAATCAATTTATAACATTTTTGACATGCGTATTTCTGGATTTTTTTGTTGTCATTCTGTCTCTCACTGTTCAAATAAACCTACCATTAAAATCATAGACTGATCAATTCTTTGTCAGTGGGCAAACGTTCAAAATCAGCAGGGGATCAAATACTTTTTTCCCTCCCTGTAGATGCCAGAGTAGGGAGCATGTGAGTGGGAGCTCGGGCAAGATTAAAACAGACATGGAGGCGGCAGGGGCGAGGCGAGATGTGAGTAATCCACAGTGGATCTGGCAGACAGTGAGGGAAATTGTTACCTGAAGTTATCTTTTCCGCCACCCCCTCCTCCTCCGCCCCATAGCTTTAGTCAGCCAAGAAAAAAAACAACAGAAGAATACTTTGCGTAGCATTTTAACACGTAGGCTTTCGTGACCAATATTATTCATAATGAAAGTAACTTTGGGTTAGGGCGCATAAATATAAACGTGTCGCTAACCCACCACCACCACCACCTGACACAGACAACTTGTAAGGTTTGTCGCGTGAACAGAACGTGCTAATTAGTTACTGTGCCAGAATACCGGAATAACGCCACAATTGTACTTACCAGCGAAACATCACTGTACTCAAATTGTAAATGTTGTAGTGGGTTTACTCTCCAACACCCCGGTGTGCTATACTGGTAACTAGTCGGCACATTCTGTTTACGTGACAAACCTCGACTATTGGCTTTGTCGGGTGGTGGCGGGTTTAACGACACACTTATAATGACGCGATCGAACCCAACGTAACTTTTACTATGAATTTGCGTAGCGTGCCCGTGAATGTCACGGCAGCTGTGTGTGGAGACGAAGGTGGGCAGACTTTGTTTTTGTTGGGTAGCACTGGTCGTGACAAAAGCAGCTCGTTAATATTTGCTCACGAACAGCACTTTGCTCTGACAGACCCCGTGAGGCTAAACGGGGAACGGGCGGGGGCGAGCGATCTCCGCGTTGGAGTCGTGCACCATTCACTTCGCACCCGGGGGGGGGCGGGTGGGGGGCAGTGTTCTGCTCTAATGTGGTTGTTGGTGGTGTACGTGCGCACGTCTCCCACACACACACGTGTGTGTGTGTGTCAGTGCCACTGCAATTCTCCGCCAGGGCTGCACTATTTTCCCAGTTGTAATTCAATTATTAACAGACACGGTTGAAGAACCACTGAGCCCTTTGGGGGAAGCGGCGGCGGCGGCGGTGGGTGGGGGCATTCTCCGCTAATGAGAGTTAAGGAGTGATGGTGTGTGCCATATTTTGTTTACTCAGGTACATTTACAGTTGATTTTCGTTGTAATTATTGCTTTTGGTGGTGCTGGCATGGGG